GGCGGAGGATTAGCCTAGTGAGCCGCGGCGCCGGCCACCATGTCAATTTTATATAAGTGTGACCATTTCACTGCCCGCTCCCTAAAGAGCTACCTCCTGGGCCTGATGATTTTATCTACACAATTCTCAGTGCATCTGTAGATTGTTCCCAAGTCTTTGCAGTTATAAATAATACCAAGAAAACATATGTGGTACATGGGTTGATAATGGTGGGTTTGCTGGGTCAAAGAATAGTCACATTTTGCATTTTATTAATTTTGCTAAGTTATCCTCTGAAAAACAACTGTGTGACAATCAGCAGTAATGAGAGAAACCACGTTCCCCACACTTGCTAATCATGGGTGTCACTCATCTTTAATCATTTTTAAGTGTAGTAACATACACAGGACACATTGTTATTTTTTCATTTTTCTACATGGCTGTGAAATCAGACATATTTCTGTTTAAGATTTATTTATTTATTTATTTGAAAGACAGAGAGGCAGAGGCAGAAACAGGGAGAGAAAGTCTTCCATCTGCTGGTTCATTGCCCCAAATGGCCACAATGACTGAATCTGTGCCAATCCGAAGCCAGGAGCCAGGAACTTCCTCCGGGTCTCCCACATGGATGCAAGGGCCCAAGGACTTGGGCCATCCTCGCTGCTTTCCCAGGTAGCTGGATGGGAAGTGGAGCAGCCAGGACTCGAACTGGCACCCTCAGCTGCGCCACAGGAATGGGCTTCCAGGTTTATCTTGTGTCTGGCCATTGACTGAATAGTTTTATAAATTCCCTTAGATTTTCAGTTGGTGGTTTTGACTGGATGGATGACCCCATCATATACAGTAAGGTCACCATGCTCCTTCCTTTCCTTGTGTTCAGTTTCTCTATTTCTTGGTGTATTACTTTGGCCAGGACCTTCCAACCTGTAAGGAGCTTTGTCTGGGGGCACTGCCGCTGCATGGGGGCCCAGTGCCCCCCACAGCCAACCCTGTGAGTTGGTCCAGAATCCTCACCCTAAGTGTAGCAAAGCTGGGTGTCCTGGGTAGCCAGGCATCCCTTGCAGCAGAAAGTAGAGCAAACTGACATACGTGGGACTCCAGGGGACCACCAGGAGTCTAAAAGCAATGCAAAGGCAAAAGAGCCGGACAAACAAGAACCAGATAAGACTCATAACACAGCTAGCAGAAGCTCAGACCACACCACACAACCCTTCCCACTAACGAGAACCCACCTTAAAAACTTGAAAAAGAGACGCACCTGTGTACACGTGTCAGGTGTTTGGGATTCAACAAATCCACCGGAAACTCTTCAGTCTACTGAAAACACTGAGCTGCGTGGACCTCACACAGCCTTTGAACACCACTCTCATTTCAGATAGGGTTTATGTCGTTCAGTGGTTGCTTGACACTGGACCATCAGGGCCTCCAGCTCTCCCCAGGGTTGAGTAGGCACTGGCCCCAGCAGGAGTCCCGAGGGGAAGGCGGGACTTACTCAGAGCCCTGGGATCCGCCCCCTCCCAGCACTCATTTGCAAGTCAAATGTGCAGGCCATGGGCGGAGTGTCTGCGGGGAGGAGCCTGTATTCATTCAGAAGAGTCGGCTTAGGAACTCCTGGTGGAGGGGGTCGAGATACCGTGGGAATACGTATGTAAGGGTGGGTGGGAATAAAAAGCCCACCGACAGCTACAGCACTGGCTGTGTGCCAGGCACTGTGCTAACTGCGTTTCCTATTTAATCCCGCTCCCTCCTCTTAGTCCCCCACCCTCGAAATTCTGCCTTTGAAATAAATAACATCTTAAAGAAAACAGAACAAAAGTTAAGAAAGGGACTGGTATTGTGGTACAACAGGTTAAGCAGCTGGCTGCAAATGCCATCCCACAGGGGCCCTGGTTCAAGTCCCGACTATACCACTCCCCATCCAGCACCCCAGTAATGCTCCTGGGAAAGCAGCGGCAGATTGTCCAAGTACTTGCGCCCCTGCCAGCCATGTGGGAGACCCGGATGAACTGCCTGGCTCCTGGCTTCGGCTTTGCTCAGCTGGATCTCCCACCTGAGTGGCAAGGGGCCCTCAGGAGCACTTGAACCATTATCTGCTGCCTCCCAGGTGCGTTAGCTGGAAGCTGCAGCAGAAGCCAAGCAGGTGGGACTGGAACTGCTGCTCCAATATGGGGGTGCACCACGACGTCCATCTCCACCACCTCCCACACTGCGCTCAGACTCACGTGTAACGCGCTTTCTTCTCTTCCTCCTTCTGCCGCTGCTCTGTTCCCTTGTAATCTTCCGCCTCTTTTCAGCCCGGCCTGGTGCGCCCCCTGCCGTGGCAGCCCTGCTCCCCGTGGCCTCCTGGGAGACCCAGGATGACGTCTTCACTGAAGGTGGCTGGGTGTCCCCAACCCCATGGGGTCTGCAGGGGATCGCAGAAACCGCTCTGCCTCCAAATGCACCTTTTTTTTTTTTTTTTGGACAGGTAGAGTTATAGACAGTGAGAGAGAGAGAGAGACAGAGAGAAAGGTCTTCCTTCCGTTGGTTCATTCTCCAAATGGCCGCTATGGCCAGCGCTGCGCTGATCTGAAGCCAGGAGCCAGGTGCTTCCTCCTGGTCTCTAATGCAGGTGCAGGGGCCCAAGCACTCGGGCCATCCTCCGCTGCCTTCCCGGGCCACAACAGAGAGCTGGACTGGAAGAGGAGCATCCGGGACTAGAACCCGGCACCCATATGGGATGCCAGCGCCGCAGGCGGAGGATTAATCAAGTGAGCCATGGCGCCAGCCCCCATCTGCACCTTTGACAGCCCACCCTCCACTCCCCCAAGCCCTGCCTCCCTCTCTGCCCCTGCTCCAGTACCACAGCACCTGCTCAAGCCTGGTGTTTGTCACAGCATCAGCCTCGCCCTCACTCTCGTCCCCTCGTTCATGTCCCCACTTCCCAGCTGTGACCGCACAGGTTAGCACTTAGCCCATCCCCAGCAGCTCCCCTCTGCTTCTGCCTTTGAGACTCCCAATCATGCTGCAAGAAAAAAAATGAGTTTCCCCCAAAGCCCTGAGGCTTTCTGCCTCTGCCGTCTCTGCCTGCCCCTCGTGGGCAGACCCTGATGGCCACTACAAGCCTTTGCGTCTGTGTACAGGAGTCAGGACTCTGTCCAGGTGCAACCCTGGCCTCCTGCACAAAGCATCCCAGCCCCTGCATGGGGCCTCCCGGCTCCTGTCCGCACGAGGGCTTCCCTTCCTGACCATCCACCGCCTTGGAAGCCAGATTTTTGGCCCCACCCTCGTCAGGACGCCTCTTCTGGGAGTGTGGATGAAGTCACAGGGACTCGAAGCCACCCGGTGTCCTGTGGCCCCCCATGCTGGGCAGGTGCAGTTCTGCTGGGCTCTTGGGGAGGCGGGGCCCACTGGGAACACAGCACCAGGTAGCAGCCAGCGATGCTCTGGCAGCAGAAACAGCTGTCGCCTGCACAGTCTCCTGCCTCCTCCCACGTTCCAGCTGGGCGCACGCATGGAGATGGTGTGTTCCAGCTTCCTCGGCAGTGACAATGACTAAGTGAGTGTGCAACTCTCAGCCTGTGCCCGGAGGGCAGGGAAGAAGCCCCAGGCTCCTTGCCTGCTCACACCCGCTGGCTGGTGCCAGTCGAGAGATCAACACCCCAGTGGGGATAGGGAGTGGTCAGTGACAGCAGAGAGAAGGAGCCTGGTGCCCCACCACCACCACTGGAGCCGCCACGCCCACCCAGGCTGCTTCCTTTCCGATGATCTCAGCGGAGGAAAATCCACTTCTAACTTGTTTGTGGGGGGATCTCTTCGCTACAGCAGCCTAACGCCTATGCTACCTGATACAGCGATCTATAAGTGATATTTCTTTGCCCGCCCTGGCCCTGAGGAGTGCGCGCTGGGCAGGTGCCATGGGAGGGGAACATCATGGCGCCATCTGTTCAGCCATCTTCCAGGTCCCTCCCCACTGTGAACACCTGTGGGGCACATCTGCTCGTCTTCCGGCCACAGAAATCATAGGGTGAAAAAGACAGTGGCACAGGTGCGTCCCAGGGGGCAGGAGTTCAGCACAGCTCTCCAGTCCCCAGGGTCCTGTGGCAGCGATGCTGGCTGCAGCAGACAAGGGAGGCACCCGTGCTCCCAGCAGCTCCTCCCTGCCCCCCGTTGTCACTCACTTTCCATTGACTGTCCCACTGTGATGCAGGGGCAAGACGCTGAGATCTGGGGAGATCTTAGGAAACCCTACCCAAGTGGCAGGGTCAGGACCGGCAGGCAGGCTGACTGCAAAGGCCAGCTCCTCTGAACTTGACTGTGCCTCATCCCTAGACCCCCTCCAAGCTGAGACCCCCATGCAGCAGCCTCCCCACGGGCAGGTGCACAGCGAGTGTGCTTACACACACACACACACACACACTTCAGGTGGGGCCCAGGAGCTGACTCAGGGGACCACTCCCACACAGTCTCTGTCCCTTGACAGCCAGCCTCATGGTCCTGTAGGTCAGCTAGAGAGGCTACAGGGTCTGAGGTCGCTGTGGAGACACACAGTGAGAGGAGGTGAGCAATCCTGGTTCCTCCAGTGTCCCCACCCTGGCCAAGCAACAGTCTACCCCCACCGGTCCCCGGCTGCTCGGGAATCCAAACTTCAACTGCGGGGCCACACAGCGGAGACCCCACGCGTGCTGGGGAGTTGGGAAGGGCAGAGGAGGCAACCTCACTCTGTACTATGGCAGCTCTGAGCCCCACCTCTGCCTGTTTGAGGCTTCTTACCCACTCAGTTACTTGCAGTTACCAAGTACTGGACTTGGGTTGATGACCGGGAAACCATGCAAGTGCCGAACCCCAGCAGCTGGTCTGGGGCTGGGCTCTCTGGGTTCCCAAGAGGGCTCCAGTATTCCTCGGGGAGCAACGCAGGGTCCCCTGAACTCTGCAAATGTGAATGTGGGACTCAGCTTCCAGAATCGCCGCCCCGTGCGCGCAGGTGCAGGCCGAGCACGGACACAGCACACCCACGTCCACATCCACAAGCCGCCGGCGAGTTCTTTTTTTTTCTTTTTATTGGCAAAGTAAATATATTTTTACGAAGGACCAAAGAAAATATACATAATTGTAACATATGTACACCAGCTTTATAGATTCTTAAAATTTCAAATGTACACAAATGTTGATGTTATTAAAAGATAGTTTATGTAGATGTACTTATGTACAGTTTATTTACATACATTCATAGGATGTGACAGAAACCTGGCAACGCAAGCTAGTTCATTTGATATTAATTTCTAGACGAGATAAGGAATGCATTTCTAACCCGGGGGGGGGGGGGTGGAAGGCGCTAGCTACTTTTATACCCACGCAGCCTGCTCCCCGCTCCTCCCCGCGGTGACCCCAGGGCTGCTGTTTGCATTCGTCTGGGACCCCAAAGGAAGACACAAGCCAGGCTGCTCGGAGCGCCGGCTGTCCGTCCGTCTGTCCTGCACATTTAACTCAAGCACATGCACTCTGACCCCTCTCCTGCCCCTCCTCGCCGGCGATCCTGCTGACGGAGGCACTCTGGGCGCTGCCGCCGGCCCTGGCACCCAGTGCAGCCCCGCACTTCTGGCTCAGTTCCTTCTTCCCAGCACGGCTCCCTCTGGGAACTGAACATTCAACAAGTGCACATTTCTTCTTGGCTAAGCAATACAGGGCTGGCCCCGGCCCAGGCGGAGGGCCCAGTGGGAGAAGGGCCAGGCCTCTCCCCCATCTCCCCCCCCCCCGCCCCCAAATCCCTGCCTCCAGCCGGCGGCGGCCACCAGGGGAAGGCACAAAGGCACCGAGCCGGCCTCCAGCCCCGCGTGCGCGCTGGAGACCCAGCCCCCAGGGACGCGGGTGTGCGGCTCTCGGTCCTCCCGGGAAAGGCATCAGGTGGCGGGGCGCTGGGTTCACACCTCCCAGGCTTCGGAAGGGGGGCTGGTAACATTGTCACGGCCCTCTCACGGAGGGAAATAAATTATTGCTTTAAAAAAAAAAAAAAACCACCACGGGGCTGGGGCCCGGGGCGGGGCAGGCTGCGCGGGGCGCGCTCAGTTCACGGCGCGCACGGGGCGGCCGCTCCGCGGGAAGCGGTGCACCTTGATGTGTTTGGAGAGGTGGTCGCTCCGCGCGAACTTCTTTTCGCACACGGGACACTGGTAGGGCTTCACGCCGGAGTGCGAGCGCCGGTGCCGCGACAGCTCGTCGGAGCGCGAGAACCTGCGGGACAGGGCGGTCAGCGAGGCCCCGCCCGGCCGGCGCCCACCCAGCAGCTCCGCAGCCTCCGCAGCGGCGCGCGGGGAGCAAGCGCGGGCTATCCAGTTCTTAAGGGATCCAGTCACTTCCGATCTGCTGGGAGAAGTCGCCTTCCAAGGAGCTGAGAAGCATAAAGCCAGGGCTTCCTTGCTGGCCCCGCGGGGTCCACGCTCAAGGCTCAGGGCCTTCCCCGGGCAGCTGGTCAACCAGAGCCCGGGACTTACCTGGCCCACTCTGCGGCGGGCGTCAGAGGCCACAGGCCTGCCCGCCCCCTCGGACCATTGTTCCCCAGGGGCATCTGGGGAGGGGTGTTCTGGGGGGGGAGGCCTTGGAGAAGGAAGGGGGCCTTCCCAAGAACCACAGTGGGCCTGGGGTTCTCGTTTTTGCTCCCTCTAAGCAGGGAGGTGGGGGCAGGGAGTCCTCTGACCTGAGCCCACCTCACTCCTGGACCCTGGTCCTGGAAGCTGGGTCCCCTAAGACTCCCCTAAACCAAAGTGCACGCCTGCAAAATGCCCTTCCAAGAGGGGAGGCCCCCTGACAGCCTGCAGGCAGGTGCCCAAAGGACACACAAGGGTCAGAGTTGGGTCAAGGCGCCCGGACGGCCTGAGGCTCTTCCCATCAGACCCTGTCCTGGCTGCCGGACCCCTCCCAGCCTGCCCAGTCCACCCTCCCCAAACACACATGGTTGCCTCCTCCCTGTGCTCAACCAACACAGACCGTCTTTGGTCCCTTTTACCACAGGATATTTGCACATCCTGTCCCCTTTCCCATTCTCTCCTGCCCGTTCCTTAGAGCTCAGTTGAAACGTCCCTTCCTCCAGAAAGCCCTCCAGCACTGCATCTCATTCGAGACTCCCATGGCATCATGTGTCTCTTTCCTTGTTCTTGCCACTGTGCAGTTTTAAATTAGCTTCAACTTTTGACGGCTATCCGTCTGTCCCACGAGGAAGGATGCACCTGTCTGGGTCCCTGTCGTCTCCCCCCGTGACCAGCCCTGTGTAGGGTCCTTGCTAGGTGCTCAGTAATTACACCGGAAGAGAGGGCAGAGCAGGCACCCCCAGAAGAACCGAGAGCCGTCATGGGGGCAGTCTCAGCGCGCACACATGTGTGCACACACGTACATACACAGTTGCTGATGCACTCCTACACAGGAGCTCTCCTGCACACACACATGCACACACATGCGCATGCAGAAGCATCAGGCCCGACACCTGTTCCTGGACCCATGGCCACAAGGTGAGAGGCGGGTTAGGCGGTACCCCTGATCCAGCCGACGGGCGGGGGCTGCTGGCTGCTCTACCTTGACCCTGTGGGTGGAGGCCTCGACCCCACAGCTTGGGGTGAACCGGGGGACCCAGCAGGACACGCATGGGGCAAGGAGGCGCCACAGTCCTGCTCCCAGACAGCAGACTCTGCACCTGGCGCCCGGCACTCCAACGTGCATCCTCCAGGGTGGACAGCGAAGTCCAGCTGTCCCGTGGGCCAGCTGAGGGCGCTGAGGCACAGCGTGATGAGGCCTTGACCCAGGGTCACCAGCGACATGAAGGTGCCAGAGGCCGGAGCAAAGGTGTCAGCCCAGCCCCCGCTGCAGCCTTCCCGGTCCTGCTCGCCCTTTGCTGGGCGCTGGGTGTCACCGGGACGGAAACAGGGTTCCTGTGCCCTGGCACCCAGAGCCCTAGCCCATGTCCCAGGGCCGGGGCCAGCTGTCCCCAGCTGCAGTTGGGCACACAGCTCCTGAGCTGATGAGCGCTGCAGGCAAGACTGTGACAAATGCTCAGAGGCCGGAGTCACACAGCCTTCGGGGCTCTGCTCTCGGTCCTGGCCTTGGCCGTCCCCACCCCCACCGGGTGCCCTGTATGATCCTGCACAAACCATGGAGATGTCTGGGCCTTAGCCAGCCACAACACCAGGGATCCCGCCTGTCTTCCAGGACTTCTTGGAGGCTAAAAGCAGTGGCGTGGAGCCACAGCCGCTCTGTGGTCATGGTGCCATCCCGGGCAGGACAGGTGGTGAAGGAGACTCGCCAGGCCACAGACCAGGTCGATCTGCATGCTGAGCCCCTGGCTGTGTGGGCGCCGTCCCTGGGAAGAGAGCTCTCGGACGGCCCCTGCCTTGTCCCCGCATACCATGTCCTCCAGACTGCAGCCCACACAGGGCTCTGTGCTGCACAGGGGGCCGGGTGGGCCAGAGACAGCCTCAGTAGGAGTAAGTTGAGCCTCAGTTTCCCCTTCTGCAGAAGAGATGCATGCCCACGACTGTGAGACTGTACAGGGCAGCGAGTCAGGAGCCCAGACTGCGGAGGGGCCATGAGCTCACGACCTGCGTGGAGCTCAGCGCAGGGCTGGGGCCTGGTTCACCCTGCCGACTTGCAGGGCTGGGACGTGCAGGGTGTCTGGACACATCAGTAGTTCCGTGTGAAGGCGCCCCTTCCTTGAGACACTCACCCACCACCCACCAGCAAGTCATGCAGGCACAGGGACTGCGATGCAGATGGTGCTCCCTACATTTGCACAGTGTACAACCTGGCCAGCCACACCCGGAGCCTCTGCCTACTGCGAGGATGTGGTCAGAAAATGCCTGAATATATAGGGGCAGCAGCGATGCAGGGCTCCAGAGAGGAGGCTGGGAGCCAGGCCATCGGGTTTGAATGCTGTCCCCGCCACCTGCTGGCTCTGCGACCTCAGACTTGTAACTTCCCCATTCCCTGGGCCTCGCACGTCCACTGCAGTTGATGGCCGCGCTCGCTGCTGATAGCTATTAAAAAAGGGATTCCTTCTACGGTGCGCGTCTTGGCCATTCCAGAACAGGACGTTCTGCTGCGAGAACAAAGCAGGCCTGTGTTGGACAGGAAGGCAAGGAAGCTTCCTAGAAGGCAGGCTCGGGCGCTTCCCGGACGGCCAGGCCAGCCTAGGGCGAGCCGTGTTCTAGCCCCGCAGGTGGGATGGGGAACCTGTGTCCAGGACAACAGCAGCAGGAAGCAGGGGCTGAGCACCGGGGCAAGGGACAGCCGGCGCAGGGGGAGGGAGGGCACACGGGCTTGTCCTAGGGGCACAGCGCCAGGGCAGCGCCGGCCCACCAGGGCCACAGGGAAGAGCAGCAGAGGCCACAGAATGCGGAAAGCCCCCATGCAGTGTGCAGACCAGGCTATGCCGCAGGGAACGGGAGGTCCTCCTGATGCTAAGCACGCCACCCTCCACCCCACAGGTGTGTAGAGGGGGCCAGGGCGAGGCTCCTGAGCCTGGGAGGCGTGGGGGTGGCAGGAAGCCCCAGCTGAACTCCTGGTTCTGCCACTACTTGTTGTGTGACCATGGAGGGCTTGCTCAGCTGCACTGTGCCTCAGCTTCCTCCACTGGGAAACGAGGCCCATGCCTGATGCCAGACTTACAGAGCCACTGTGAGAACTGAATGGGGCAACATCCATGCAGGGCTCAGAACAGCACCCGCGGGCACCAGGGCTCCTGCTGGCGTCGCACCTGCTACTCTGAGTTCTTCCCCTAGCCCAGAAGCACAGCACCCAGGGAAGCCAACAGCCCAGGGTGGGAGAGGCGCTGAGGCACCCACCTGGGGGTGCACCTCAAGCTCACAGACACCAGCCATGTCTGCCAGGGCAAGTGGTGTGACTGTCATGAGCCTGGGTTTCGCTGCTGTCAGTTGGGCATCGGTGCCCACACTGGACGGCACTGTGTGTGAGAGGGCTCCCGGGGCTAATATTAGCATGTGGATGTGTGCAGGACACGGATGGGGCCTTTGCAGAAGCAAAAATCTAAGTCATGGGCCCAGGTGCTGCAGGAGGAGGGTGGCCTTGGGGACGGGGGGCACACACACAGCCCATGTGCAAGAGGGAGCCCGAGCAGCAGAGAGGGGGCTGGTGGGGGTAGTTCTCACCCAGAGGAGGGAAGAGGCAGGCAAGCAGACTGTGTGGGCCTGGGGTGTGAAGTCTGGATAGGAATGTAAGGGTGTCAAGTGCATTTACAGAGGTGATGAGCTTCCTATCACTGGAGGTATTCAAGTGAGGGCATCAGGTGGGGCGGGGGCGGGGGGGATTCCAGCTCTAAGATCTGACCATGGCGCCTGGCATACAGTAACCAGTCAGTCAACCTAAGGTGTCCTCGTCGCTTATCCAGTCCTGTGCAGACCGAGCTGCCCCAAAGCTGGGTCCATCCTCCCCTGCCAGCCTGCTGCCCGGAGCTGCGGGGTCTCCCACCCTCGGACCTGCTGGCGCAGACAACGGCCACGTGGACGGGAAAGAGCACTGGGCATGCACGCCCAGAGGTGCAGGATCCCCGGGCTGGGCCTTTCCTGTGTCCTCTGAGAAACAGCCCTCCCAGGAAAGCAGGTGCCCTCGGCTCCTGGCCAGATACTACCCGGCCATATGTGACTACACAAAGGCCAGCTGTGCTCCGGGGACCTTGGGCCAGCTCCCTGGGCCAGCACTGAGGTGACCTCACCATGCCGGGTACCCCCTGCCTCATCCCCTGCCAACTGGGTCCTGGGCAAGGAGACCACCGCCATCAGAGCTGAATCCCCTCCACATCTTTTCCCTTGTACCCCTCCTGCCACGGGGAGCTCACTCCCTCCTGCAGCCGCTGTGTGGAGGACAGAGCCACCCTCTGGGCTGAGTCCTGTCTGCTCTGTGGCCTGCAGGACAGCTGGGAAGAAGGTAGACCCGCCTCCCGCTGGAGGAGGGGGCAGAGTGGGCGGCCTTGACCAAGGATCAAGGTCTCCCCTGCAGCCTGCCCTTCCTGCCCCCACTGCAGGAGCCAGCGGGGTGGGGGTGGGGGGTGTAGCACCTGGAAAGGTGAGACTATGCTGAGTCAGGATGGGTGCCCTGGAGAGAGGCTACCTGGCGAGCAGCTGCCTGACACCTACAGGGTCCCTGCCTGCCCTCAGCGAGATGGGCCGCTGCCCTCGGGGAGCCAGGCCAGTGCCGGAGCACCCTGCACACCAACCCTGGGCTGCGTAGTGCTGGCTTCCATGGTGCAGCTGAGGGAACCGACACTTGGCAGGTGCAATGCCCGGGGGCACTGGGCGAGCTGGGGGCTGACACAGGGGTGGGCTTAAGCCCGCTGCCTTCCCCACTCAAGGCACCACCGTGCAAGGCATGCCTCTGGGGCCCCTCTCTCCATCTCTCAGCTCTGCCACCCACATGGTGCACCCACCCCTGTGTCCTGCCTCACAAGCAGCCTGGCGCCCTGCACCCACAGGACAGGTCGGGGGTGCCGCTCAGGGGGACTCCAGGGGCTCTCGTGTCTGGCGGAACAAAGAGGGGCCGGGCACAAGGCAGTGTTGCCCTTATTCACGTAGGGAAAAGGCCTTGTTTGGTCTGCTCCATGGAATGGGATTGTCAGTGTCACAGCCTGCCCTAAGCAGCTTGCCCGTGCCACCTCGGCCAGCCAGCACCCCCGCCTCAGGCCCACTCCGGTGGCTCTCAGAACCGGAGCCCAGTCAAGCAAACAGAAGCTACAAACAGCTGCTTGTGTGCCACACCCACACCCACGCTTGCACACATGCACACACAACCACAATGTGCACAAGCACATGGCGTCACGCGGCTTATACAGGACGAAAGCAAGATGTGCACACGCACGCACACACACAGCTCCAGGCCTGCTTGTAGGCTCACGCACGCACACCCACATCCCGACACGTACAGTGGCAGCCAATGGCAGCAGGGAGCAAGACTGTGCCGGCGGCACCTGTGGCCCTCCCAGGCAGGCCACAGAGTCCACCCGTAAGCATGGGAGCTCATGGTCGGCTGTCTGCATCTCAGAAAAGGATGGCCAAAGACAGTGAGTGGCCTCGGGGGCCGCGGGGGTGCAACTGACCACCCAAGGGCCAGGTAGCCATGGGCAAGCCCCTCCCCCGCGGAGGGCTGGTTTCTCTGTTCGTGTAGAAGAAAGCCCCTAGAGGAATTTGCCACCTTGGCCAGGCACCCAGGTCCTCCTCCTCGGCTGGCCTCTGTGGCCTCCCCAGCACACCACTGGGTCCCCAGGGAGGAAGTGAGTGCCAGGCCTGGTGCACGTGGCCCAAAGACCCCGGGGAAGGAAGCTCACCCCAGCATGTGGGGAGGCAGCATTTTCAGGATGTGACCTCTCTAATCTGACCCCTTCCACAAAGCAGCGAGCAGGGCCACGTTCCTCAGCGCCCTCGGACAGAAGCGGGAAGGCCAGCAGTACTTACCCCGTGGGTGCTGGCCCACAGCCCTCCATCGTTCTCAGTGGTCGCCTAAGCACCTTCTGCTGCAGCCAGGCCTCTACCCTCACCCTGCACTGGGAGACCTACCCAGCAGGCTGTACAGGGTCCCACAAGCCTTACCTGATCATTAGGAAACCGGAGCCCAGCTGGCTCCCAGCCTGAGTCAGCAAAAGTGACCCAGAAGCCCCTGGGCAGCTGTGCCAGCTCCGGCCCTGACCTCCCGGCTGCACCCTCGCGCCCCTTCCCAATCGGCTTCCCCTCACAGTAGCTAAAATGGCTTTGCACGCAGACCCCAGCTAGCGGCTGGAGGCAAGCGCTTGCTGCCCGCCCAGGCCTGCCCCACAGCATACTGACCTCCAGCCGCAGCCCGGCCAGGTGCAGGCAAAGGGCTTCTCGCCTGTGTGCCGGCGCAGGTGGGCTTTGAGGTGACTGCTTTTGGTGTACATCTTGCTGCAGCCAGGAAAAGTACATTTGTGCATTTTGATGAGTTCCGCTGCCGGGTTCTTGGGGAACTTCTGACCCACAAGGAGGCCTGCAGGGCCGGGCCCCAGAGGTCCTGACCCGATGGGCTTGGCCGCAATGGGCACGGGGGCTATGCGCACGAACTTCGAGGGGAGGTTCAGGTTGGAAGAGGGTACCACCTGTGGCACCAGCGCAAAGGTCTGTCCCTGGATGTTGACCAGGAGCTGGGCCACCTTGACGTTCTCCGGGGCCTGGCCCGGGGAGGCCGGCCCTGTGCCCGATTCCTGCTTCACGGGCACCGGTTGGATCTGCAGCAGCACCGGGATGGGGCCGTCGGATGCCGGCCCCCCGCCTGGGCTCTGGGCGCCGCCCACACCCGCAGCACCTGGTGGAGGAGGACAGCGCTCTCTCCCGCCGGAGCCAGAATGGAGGTGGCTCCGGTGTGGCCCGGCGGGGAGCTCCCCGCTGGCCTCCAAGTCCTTGCTGCTGCTCTCCGCGGCTTCTTTGGCTCCTGGCTCCATGTTCTCCTCCAGAAACTCTTCGATCTCTTCCAGGGTGGGCTGGAAGGGTCTGGCGGCATCATCGGGGTCACCCACGGGAAACTCGGGGAAGCAGAAGTGCTCCCCCTTCCCAGGTGCCGGTGCCCTGCGCCACGACCCCCAGGCCACAGGGCCACTGCTGGCCCCGATGCTGCCACTGCCGCCGCTGCTGCCCAGTGTGGCTTGGGACAGCAGGAAGTCCAAGATGCTGTCCTGGCCCTCAGTGCCCAGGCCTCCACTGTAGCAGGAGCACAGGGCCTGCGAGTCCGGGCTGGCACAGGAGCAGGGGCTAGAGGCGTCGCTGTCGTCTTCCGAGAGGGGTGAAGGCAGCATGTGGTAGGCCCCGCGGCCAGCCAGCCTGTCGCCCGAGTTCTCCCCCACTGGAAGCAAGTGGTCCACCATGCTGGCCGGGCCGTGCCGGTGGCGGCTGCGGAGAAGGGACAAGGGAGGCCTGGTCAGAGGGTGGCATGCTCACCTGATGCGCCGTGGAGCCACGGCCCCCGCCAAGCCTGCCCCCGGCCGCCCATGGCCGGATGCCCGGAGCCTGCCTCCATCCCAGGGGAGAGCTGCGCTGCGAGAGTGTTTTCTGAAATTGCACCACCTGTTTGCAAAAGAGCCCTCTCCAGGCCCATTGCACAATGCGGGGCACTTCTGGTTTCAGACAGTTTTCCAGAATGATCCTGGAAAGGAACACGTGTGTGTGTGTGTGTGTGTGTGTGTGAATGTGTGCACGAGAGGAGTACTGGGGAGTGGGCAGCTCCTGAACCCCACGTCAGCTAAGGCCCGGGGGGTCCCCGCCTGAGGACCCCTAACCCCGGACTCATGCCTGTTGAGTCACAGAAGTGGGGCGGGAGAACACCAGTTGCCCTCTGACCCCTGCACTATAGGGTCAGATTGGGCAAATAGAAGTACAGGCTGCCAGCAACATGTGTATTTCAGATGTTAAAATGTGTACTACTCTTAATATGAGTCTGCAAAGGGACATAGCTACACTAGAAACTTCTTTTATCTAAGATCCAAATTCAGCTGGACTGCCCGTGTTGCAGCCAGCACCCGTGGTTTGGAGACCAAAAACTTAAAGACCACAGAGTATGTGCCCTCCAGAGGGAAGACGGGGGAGGCAGCAGTGGCTCGGAGGGGCCGAGCTTCTCTCCTGTCCCCGGGAGAGGCAAGGACAGGCTTCAAAGAGACCCAGGTGGCAACACGCGGAGAGCACCCGCCTTGATACCCTCCCCCCGGCTCCACACCCGACTAAGTGGGACCCGAGGAGGAGACCCCTTGGCCAAAGAGGAAGCTGATCTGTTTGCACCCCATGGCTGTGTTCTCCCGGCTCGGGCTTGGGACACTCACCGCTTCGCAAAGCTCCAGCGAACACCTGTCTCCCGGCTAGACAGTGCGCGCCATGTCTCTGCCGGGTCCCTAGTGCCCGGCGAGGCACCTGGTGTCCAGGAGGGGCTCAAAGGACACTGGCAGAGAGGAGACAGGGAAGCCAAAGGCCATGCTGCCTCCAGTGTTCAAGGAGAGTCAACAAAACACGGCTATGGCAGGCCCACCTCTCTGGACCTTTGTCCCTGCCCAGTGGCCACAGCTGGCTGTGTGTTAATCCAGGTTGGTGATGAGGATGAATATTCTGCACCTGAAACCAGGTTCCCTGTTGCCTGGTGTCTCCTCCGACCCCCACCCCTAGCCAGCCCCAGGACCACTCCAAGGGCCAGGCCCCCAGCACTGCCCACGAGCCAACAGGCCAGCCTTATCAGCTTGTGCCCTGGGATAAGACCTTGCTCCCCTCCCCTAACCTCAGTTTCCCCATCGGACCACAGGACCTTTGGTCTCCATCCTCAACTCAGCCACGAAGCTGCAGGGAGCTCCAGGGAGCCAAGGCAAGAGCTGGGCCCAGAGGGCAGTTTCGCCAGGAGGACTTTTTCATTTAGAAAAAAAAGACTCAGCTAAGGGTTTAAAACTGGGAGCATGTTCTGAGACAGGCGCCATTCAACAGCTGAGACGCCGGGAGGGCGGGAAATCGTCAGGCAAGGCGAAGGGCCACGGAAAGGGCCGAGCAAACACTCCACCCACCGTGCTCCCCCTCCGCTGGGTGGCCTCAGGCAGGTCGCACAACCTCTCTGTGTGTGGGACTTGGTCTGGAGAGGAGGGTTCCACCAGCAGTGCCCTGGGTGCATCCCCAGAGTGACACATGCTAAGGACTTGGACCGGGTCAGGCACACCACAAGTGCCTGCAGGTGCCAGCCGTTAGCATACGGCTCCTAACATGTAGAGAACACGGGGTCTTTCTGGCCCTCAGCCGCCTTGCTAAGGAATCAGACTCCCACCCTTCTGGGACCCGCGGCAGGCCTGCTGCAGAGCCCGCCTTGAAACGTGATTGACAGTCCAAAAGGCGACATTAAATGGTTACCATGAATCCCAACTGTGCCGATGATCCTGAAGTTACTTTTTTTTTTTTTTTGAAGGACATACACAGATACACTCAGGGATAAAATGATAGAAAAAGAAACGGGAGTAAGCATAGTGGGGGAGGGAGAGAAGGAAGTAAACCCCAGTGGGTCTGCAAGGGAAGGACCCAGTGGCCCCACGGAAGCCCACACCTGCTCTGAATGGCGGCTCAGCTCTGAGTGCCCAGCTCCTGGGCCCTGAGCCCCGACACCTCCCCCGTGCGGCCCTCAGCTCCCAGACCGCAGCTCGGCCGACGGTCTTTCCATCAGCACCCCATAGGATGCTCCTGCTCGCAGGCTCCGCTGTGAGAAACCGCGTTGCTGCACAGCTGTGAACTCGCCGTCCCGTTCACCCCTCACCAGAATACAAGTGTACGGGCCGTCCAGTCCCGGGCCGCATTCCAGAGTCTAAAACTGGGCCTGGCAGCATGTGCTGAATGAGCGAGAGGGAAAGGTGCTGAGCGAGCCGGGGCAGGCACGGGGTCTTCCTGCGGGGTGGGCGTCCCTGCGGCGGGACACCGAGGTACGGAGAGCCCAGGACGGGAGCGCCCGCCCGGGGAGAGAGGGCGCGCGGGGACTGGAGCCGCTCCGGCCCCTAAAAAACAGGAGCACGTGGCGCGGCCAGAGGCGCAGGCTGCGCGCAGGGGGAGGGGACGCGCTGTTCCGGGCACCGTCCCCGGCCGGCCGCTGGACTCCGCCCCCTCCCCCGGCCCGGCCAGGCCTGCTGTTTATCCTCCCGGGGACACAGCGGCTGCAGGAACAACATGTAATTGATAACAAGCGGAGCGCCGGCCAAGGGCTTGCCATTGGGTCAGCGCGCAAATCACGGGGGTGGCGGCAGGGGCCGCCCTTCAAAATAAGAGTCTCTGCTCCTGCATGGCCCGCCGGCCCCAAAGTAGCAGAGTTGCGGCGTCTTCGCACCTGTAGGGCCGTAGGGGCTCCCTGCGGGCTCCGGGTCCGCGGGAGGAAGATTTGGGGGGCGCAGACAAGCCGGGGGAATTTTGTCACCTCTGAGGCCGTGGGGGGAAAATCCCCTCTGCCCTGCAGGAGCGGGGCTTCCATGGGTAACTCCACGGTGGGGAACGTCTGGGACCTCGGGGACTCGGCGCGTGGGGGCCCGGAATGCAGGACCCGCGAGCGGTTGCGGGGCGAGCGTTTCCGTCCTGGGACTGCGTGTGCGGGGTGGGGCGTGGCGCCGGCGGCCCACGGAGCTCCCGGAGGGTCCCGCGAGGAGCGCACGGCAGCCCCGCGTGGGTGCCCGAAGGAGTGGGGAACGCAGGGGGCGGGTTCGGACCCTCGGCTGAGCCCTGGAGCGCTGCCCACCGAGCACCACGCCCTGGGCTCGCGCCCCCTCCCCCTCCCCTGCCCCCGCCGCGGTGACCGACAGTAACCCTTCCACCTCGGCCCGCCGCCCCCCACCCGGGCGGGCCAGCGCGTCCTCCGCGCGCTCCTCCGCCAGGCCCGGCCGAGCGCCCGCCATATGGGAGCGCCGGCCCGCAAGGAGCGCCACCGGCACGCGCGGCCGGGCGTCCAGGCTGCCGCGCGGAACTGAGCGGGGCAGGTGACGGGGGGGCTACTAGGATCTACCACCCACGGACCCCTCCGACCACTGCCCGTCCCGCGGGTTCACCCCACGGGTCCGACACTTTCCCGGGCACGGCTCAGAGCCTCGGACAGCGGCGCCGGCGCAAGGCCGCGCGCCCCGAGCCCGGCCAGCGCCCTCCCCGCGTCCCGGCCGCCCCTCGGTCACCCCCAGCCGCGTCTCTCCCACCTGAACTCGGCGCACGCCCGGCCGGCGGCCAGGCCCCGGCGGTCCTGCGGCCCCAGGAGCTGGGCTGCGCTGGGGGCGGCGGCCCGGGTCCGGATCCGGCGGCGGCCGCGGGCCGAGCCGCGGGTCCTGCGCTCGCTCGCTCGCCCGCTGGCCCGCGGGTCGCTGCGGCCGAGCACTCGCCCGCCCGCCGCGCTCTCGGCGCTCACTCCGGGCAGCTCACGTGATGCCGCGGGCGCCGCGAAGGCTCGCAGGAGGCTCGGCCCCGGGCGCGCGCCCCATTGGCCAGCGCCGCGCGTCACGCGCCCCGCCCCGCCCGGGCCCCGCCCCCGGCCGCTCCGGGAGGAGCGCGGCCCGCGCGCTGTGAGCCCTGGAGCTGCGGGATCTGCGCTTTGCGGGACTCGCGCGCCGCGGGCGGCCCGGGCTCCAGCCCCAAAGCGGGGTCGGACCTGCGGCCGCTCTCCAGCTCTGGCGCGGTAAGGCCGCTAGGTGCCCGAACCGGCGTCTTGGGGAATTACGGTATCTGGCAGTGACCGTGAGGACAGTGCGCTCCGGCCGCGCGGCCACCGCGCCCCGGGGCGGTCTGGGGAGCTTTGCGGATCCCACCCCAAACCAAGGACGCGTGTTTGGGGGGGAACCTTTCTGAAGTGCTTCCGTCGTGTGCACTGGGGCTTGCTGCCTACGGAGCCCAGGGTGGCTGCCCAGGGTCGGCCCACGGGGGCTGGGCGCCCCGCTGAGTCCTGTAAGCCACACTTCGGTGGCTCCTTCTCGCGCCGGCTTCTCGGCCCGTCCCAGCACTGGGAGGAGAGGCGCCTTGTGCTGCAGGGGCAGAATTTCCAGGCAGACCCCTTCGCGGGCTTTCTGCATGCGGGAGCGGGGGTGGGGTCTGGGGCCCCTGGCTGAGCAGCAGGTGGGTGTTGGGGACACAGCTGCCCCTGCGCCCAGGAGCCAAACCATTGGGAGACTTGCGCTGAGGATGAGGGTGGTGGCAGGCTTACTTGTTGGCAGCAGTCAAAGCCCTCCGGTGGCAGCCTGGGCCGCGTGGGCAGCAGGGTGGAACCCGTTCCTTGTTCCAAGAGACGGATCTGCACAGTTCAGCTGGGGGCTTTGTTGGCTCAAAAACTTCCAGTGCTCATATATCCTCCAGTTAAGAAAGCCCCTGTTCTCTACACAGTCCTCAGTGTGCCGCAGGACCGAAACCATCACTTGGTGCCCAACCTCTTCTTGTATCTCTCTCCCCACGGCTTACAATACTCCGGCCACACTGGCTTCCCCAAACATGCCAGGCCCTGCCTCCGGGCCTTTGCACTTGCTCTTCCCCAGAACTCACGTGGCTCCCCTGGTTCCTTCAGGCTTTATTCAGATTTTACTCATTCGGGGAGGGGGGCCCTGCCTAGCCACACCCCTAATCTAAGATGTTAACAGGGCTTCTGATGTTTCCTACTGCCATATCCCATTTATTTCTAAGGACTGATTACCTTCTAACTTATCAATTTTACATTTTATTTACTCCTCCAATAAAATTAAGTTCCACCAAAAGAAATGATGTCTTTTCAAGTGAATGCAGCTCCAGCACCAAACACTAGCAAATGCCCAATTGTACAACACAAGAACTGTTGACAGACTTAAACGGACCAGGGCCAGCTTGAAAGGAATTCAGAAGTGAGGAATTCACCCCAAACAGGTGGAGAAGCTGGTCACCGGAGAAGTTAGAACAAGTGTCCAGAAAGCAAGCCAGGAAACTGCCAACCAGATCTGCCTGGCTCAGTGCAGTACCCACCTCGGTGTCCCCAGCATCATCCAGCCTTCAGATACCAACTCAAACTTGACTTTCCTGGAGACGCGTTCCCATCCCAACCCATCTCCTACCCTGGGCTAGATCAGGTCTCCCACCTGTCCTCCGTGGTGTGGTGCCCAGAATAATAATAACTTAATAAATGTGCGCTGAGTGAGTGAGTGAGTGAGTGAACTAGCTGGCAGGGACTTACTCTGCCTGATTAGCCAAAGAACTGCCTGAGCAGCCAGATCTGGCATTTACCCCATGGCTAGGGAGGGGAGCTGAATGAAGCCAGATGGCGCCCTTCAAAATGCAGATGGCAGGGGCAGCGTTGTGGCATAGGAGGTCCAGCTGCTGCCTGCAGCGCGGGCATCCCATACGGGCACCGGCTTGAGTCCCAGCTGCTCCACTTCCAATCCAGCTCCCCACTAATGCACGTGGGAAAGCAGCAGAAGATGGCACAAGTTCTTGGATCCCTACACACAAGAGGGAGACCTGGAAGAAGCTCCTGGCTCCCAGCCCTGGCCGTTGCAACCATTTGGGGAGTGAACCAGTGGATGGAAGACCTCTCCCTCTCTTTCTCTGTGACTCTGCCTTTCAAACAAATGAAACAGATCTTTAAAAAAAAAAAAAAAATGAAGACAGCAAGGAAAGAAAAAACTCACAGTGGTGAAACCTCATACATGATTTCCCTCCACAGCAATTCCTTCCCTACTTCTACATGATCAAGCAGAGAAAAAGACCTTAAAGGCTGTAAGTTGTCTCGTTTATATGCTGTGTGACCTTGCCCGACCTTGTCTGTAAAACCACATGGGCCCGGTGCCTTTTGGGGAGCACCGGTCTTTGCTCCATCCTGGGATTTTGCACAGTTTAACCACGATGTGTCTGGTTCTAGATTCTCTTTGTAGTCTCTCTGCCCTGTGCTTGGTACATCCTGTAAGCCTGAAAACTCCAGTCTTCTACAGCTCAGGGAAATCCTCTCATTCCCTGTGCCCCTCGCTGTCTGCCTGCGTTTCTCCCTCTCCACGCAAACACCACTTTATCTCAGATGCCCTGCTTGACCCTGCCCACCAACTCAAACAGCATGCTCAGTGCTCTGGCCTGCTGACCTTGACGTATTTTATTTCATGGTCCTGGTTTCATATTCTTTGTTTGTTCACTGCCTGTCTCTGCTACATCCCCAGAACATAAGACACTCCAGAAGTACCTGCTGAGCCAATGAAGAGATTCTTCCTTCTTGCTTCTTGTAACATTAAAAGCCACAAAGTCTCTGGACATGTTCTTTAGGCTCAGCATTCTCTTCCTTGATGCTGATCATCACCTTGACCTCACCCCTGTCCCACACACAGGCCCACATCATCCTCCTGTACCCCAAGACCTCCAGCTTCTGCTTCGGCTTATGCCTGCCGCCACCCAGCCTGCCTGCAGCCGGGGAGCAGTCAGAGGGCGCCATTCAGTGGTGTGGTGGTCTGCGCATAAAGGGACCAGGGTGGCCTGAAGACAGCCACCAGGGACTCGGGGCCACTGTATCCACGTATCCACGCTGTATATGCTGCCTGCCCAGTAGTCACACCTTGTACCTACTGCAGATAGCAGATCTACTGTCACAGTCTGTACTGTAGTTCCCTGAGTAGCAGCCCTGGAGCACACAGCAGTGAGGCTGCCTAACAGGGGGCATGATCCTGCTTTTAAGTAGCCCCTCCCATATCTCCAGGAGAGAGGAGAACCACACCCACATCATCACTTTCACTACAGCCTACAGTTGTCACTGCTCTATCTTATTAGTAGCTATTGCTTGTCTCGATAAACTGTATCAAGAATAGGCGAGCACAGAGTTGCTCTAGGGGTGAGAACCCCCTGTGATTGCAGGCAGCCCCTGTGGCTCTGGGAATGCAGTCCCCACAGAGAATTCAGGATCCTATAGGACTAACGCCTACACGTTTCTGAATTTCCAGCATTACAGAAAGGCGTGAAAGGGAAAGTAAAACCCTGCCCAGCCCAGTCCCCTCACCCTCTCTGCTCATGGTTGCTGTTTGTGGTGCCCCTGGGACCTCCGGGATTCTGCATCAGATGCTGTGTCTTTTGGTCTCTGTGAGAAGCAGCAATGGCACGCTGCTGCAGGGACCAGGGAAGGGTGCCGTGGGTTCCCAAGTGAGTTTCTCCCACAGGAGGCACTAGCAGGAGACTGTGGGATGGGAGGGAGGCGAGCAGGGTTTGTGGTCCTTCCTGGCTGCCTGCACGTCTCTGTTCACTGAGGGTGTCCCTTTCCCAATGGCCACAGCCCCCCAGGAAGTCTTTCTGGAACTCTCCCTGACTCCTCAGGCCCCTGCACTACCTCACCCAGGTGTTTGCAAACCGTCCCCACATTAGAGCTGTGGGGAGCGCCCAAGTGTCCTCCAGAGTTGGACCAGTGGCCTGTGCACTGCACGGCTGCAAACAGAATCTCCTCATGGCATCATTCAGATGCAAACTACGTCTCTTCTGCAGCTTCCACTGAGTCTTCTAAACCTTCTAAAAATCCACCCGCCGGGGCTGGCATTGTGGCACCGTGGATTAAGCTGCCACCTGCGACACGGCCAGCATCCCACATGAGCACCCTTTCAAGTCCTGGGATGCTCAATTTCCTATCCAGCTCCTGGCTAAAGCGCCTGGGGAGGCAGTGGAAGATGGACCAAGTGCTTGAGCCCCTGTCACCCCCAGGGGAGACCCAGATGGAGTTCCAGGCTCCAGCAGCAATTGTGTGTGTGTGTCTGTCTGTCTGTCTGTCTGTCTATCTGTTTGTCTCTCTCTCTCAATCTGTAACTCTGCCATTCAAATAAATAAATAACTCTTTAAAAAGAGAAAATATACCTTCTGTTTTCTCTTCATAATGCCACTGTTATTAGTGAATTCCTCATGTATTTTGAGTACACTGTCAAGTAATTTTCTTTTCAATAATGATGCTTGGAAGTGAAATTTTCTGAGAACTTTCCTGTCTAAAAATGTGCTTAGATTTGCTGTCATATTTGATTGATCAAAGTGGTACTTGACAAAATTTGTGGAAAGGGAATGAGAAGTCTCTTTTGCTGCAAAAACAAAAACAAAAAAACCCAGCTTTTAAATCTATGCATATGAATGGGTTTTCAAAAGCTGTCTGGAAAATGCATATTAGAAAAAACTGCATAGATTCCAAAATGTTTTGCACCAAAATAAACTTTTTAAAAGA